AGTAGTAGTAGTAGTAGTAGAGAGAGAGAGAGAGAGAGAGAGAGAGAGAGAGTCCTTCATATCCTGCAGTGGATAACTTTGGTTGGTTGACTAGAAAATGGCATAGAAAGAGGTGAAGCTAGTTAGTACTTAGTACTCAGTATCATTGTTGATATCCTCTCAATACAGCTTATGTTGTGTGGTTCATTTTATACTTCCAAGTGACAGTCCTTTATGTTTTACTTGGTGTTGTCTTGTCGTTGAATTTCTGGACAGTCTGCAATAACTATCTCGAAGTTTCATGAAATTTTTGGCTGTTGCCAATTTTAGTTAGGAACATAAAGCTGAGGATTCTCTCTTTCATGCCATAACTTGCAATGGAACTTTCGGGCTATGATTCTGCAATCATCTATGTACCTTATAATTGAGTAGTAAGTGCCTTTTAGATAGTTGATAAAATTCTTTCCAAGTTACATGAACTTTTAATTTGGGCTTCAGTTGCTTTTGCATTTCTTAGTGTAATATATACTGCTGCCTTCAATTATGCAATAATGTTCACTACTGTGCTACAACCTTTCATCACCTGGATACCGCATTTGTTTTAGAATATTGTGGTAAAAATAGATGTTATTTGGTTTCATTTGGTATAAAACAAATATGAACAACTTGATGACAGAACATGGTCTAGTAATGAAGACATAAATCAATAGGGTTCGTTATACACTGTAAGACTCTTCAGAACCTTTGGCCATTGGACTTGTTCTTTCTTGACGATTTTGATTGGATTGGAGTCAGGTTTTTTTTGTTGCTCATATAATTTTTTAGTTTTTCTATAATTTTTTTTTTATCTACATACTTCTACAAGTAAATAAAACAGGAAAAATAATTTTCCGAGATAATTTTGCTAATCTTATTATGCAAATTATTTTATTTTCATACATTTGATTTATACTTGTGTAACGAAGTATTGTTTGCAATTAATTAGGTAATAATGATGTTGATTCTTTAACCATCGGAGCTTTAGAGGAGCCATTCTTCTCAAATAAGTTGGCAGTTCTTGTTGGTATTCTTGCATCCTATAGGTATGCTTGATTTTTTTATTAATTTTTATAGTGGATCATAGGAATGCTTCATGACTCCTATCTGTTGTCTTCTTTGTTAATGTTCAAAGTTTTCGGAGTGAAAGATACTTCAGGTACCAGCTATATATTATACCCAGTGATTTAAAAAGCGCAAGGCGCTAAGGTCCAAAAATACCTGAGGCACTAGGCGCTCGCCCAGGTGCTCGCCCGAGCGGAGTGAGGCGCTAAAATATAAAAATGTATAATATAATTAATAAATATAATTATTTTAAATTTTAAATAAAATATATTATACTGTATACTGTTAACCAAGGTAAGCAATACTGTACTGTACCGATGTTTCGAGGTTGGCTTGGTATGGTACGGTACCGACATACCGAGCGGTACACCAGGGCTTACCGAACGATTTTAAATATTTCTTCCTCTTACTGTAGCACTATAGCACCGGTATGCTGTCGGACCGGTACGTACTACCCGTATCGGGCGGTACCATTCGAAATTGTATACCATGCTGTTAACAGTATACTTGCGAAAGAGGAGACGCGAAAGAGAAGAGAAGAGTGTAAAGGAAGACCGAGGGTGCTGACTGAGAAAAGCGGGAGCGGCAACGGTAGCGGCGACAGTGGCAACGACAGCAGTGAGCAGCGGGAGCGGCGATAATGGTAGTGGTAGCGGCAGCAATAAAAGCGAGCATCGCCAGTAGTAGCGAGAGCGGCGAGCGACAACAGTGGCAGCGAGCGGCGACAGCGGCAGCGGTAGCGTGAACGACGAGCAGGGTTAAGGTTGGGGAAGTTGCGCTGATATCGGTACTTTAGTTGGTTCGATTGAATCAACTAAAGCACCAGAGACCGAACCAGACCTAAAACGTTGGTTCGGTCGCCTAGTTTAACCCAGGTGCTCGCCCGAAGCGCCTAGCGCCTGGGCTCGGGCGAGCGCCAGGCGGCGCCTCTTTGAAGCGTGCTGCCTGGAAATGAAGCGAGGCGCTCGGGCCTCGCCTCGCCTCACCCGAGCGCCTAGGCGAGCGCCCGAGCGCCTTTTTAAATCACTGATTATACCTAGGCAAACGAAGCATTTATCTGGGCAGCTGTCTACATCCTTTATCCTTGGTTTCTTGTCAAGATTTTATTAGGAAATGCTACATCTTATATGACTAAAATCATTGTTGCTTAACATTTTTTGTCACATTCAAAGTGGTAGAACAGATTACAGTGGTTAGGGAAATTAGTGGAAAGTTTATATTTGAATGAGGTAGGAAGAAGAGCAAATAGCAGAAAGGGGAAATTGCATGTAATGGATGAAGTGGGGATCAACCACCTGTATCTGCCTGTCTCCCCTTGGGTCTCACTACCAATGCTAGTCCATGAAATAAGGACAAGTAAAAACTGACATTATGTGTATTTAACAAGAAAAAGCATCAAAATTCACAAACAAGTGAGGAATGCAATAATAGCAGCAAACCATCATCCTGATGCTCTTCATTTTCTAGGAATTGATCTTTCATGTACATAAAAGTTAAGTATGGAATTATAAAATGTTAATTTGGCACTCCAACTTTAGAATAATAACATGTGTCTGTGCCTCATTTCATGCAACAATCATGACATGCATCTACCAATGCCACTATATTTGGAATTCAATGAGTTTATGCATAAAACCTCCTAATATGGATTCTACAATCAATTAAATAACAAAGTCATGATTGGCGCATCTTAAGGTAAACATATCAAGGAACAACATGATAATGATTTACATCTCACTGATCTCACCTAGCATATCTTTATTGAGGCACAACTCCACATGTTCCTCTAAGGACAACTTCATGATGAATTCTACCACTCAAACATAGTTGACCAACACAATCAATGTTTGCTTGTGAGAAAATGAGAGTAAGGAGACATTGATGGTTGCAAGGGTTATATATAAGTTTCCTGTTTGGGCTTAGTTTATGTTGTCGTAACTACAACCATAGTCTAATGGGCTTTGAGCCCAGTAATGTTTAGTTCCAACAGGCCTGAGTCACTGGCCAACTACATATATTTTTCTTTAGCACCATTCTGATGTGCATCTTATACTGCATGTTTTTTGTGACTGACACATGCTTTATAATTTCAAGGCATGATTTGATTAATGTGATCAACTTGGAAATCAGGGTTGTTGGACATTGTTAGATTTTTGGGTGCATTGATGATGGTTCTATCTTTCAATCTTTGCAAGAACTTACATGAGCATGTGTCTGACTAGATTATTTACTCTGTAAGAGCAAAATTTTTCTTGTTGAAGTTTTCTTATGATATTCTATCTGAAAATTTATGAAACCTTTGTGTTTTTTATAGGCTACAAGCAACCGCAAAATGTATAATTTTTGTGAAGAGAATTATTGTTGCAAAATCGTTAGCATATATCCTTGGGAGCTTAGAGTCTCTTAAATTTTGGAAATGTGAGTTCCTTGTGGGTTGTCATGGTGGAAAAGAGAGCATGTCTCGTGGAAAGATGAACACCATTGTTGAAAGGTTTTCTTCTGGGGAGGTACCATTCTGAAGATTCCTAGTGATAATGTTCCCTGATAAAACTTTTGTAGTGCATGTTATTTACAGGATATGCTGATCTATCACATACAGTTGATTATAGTATTATGCAATTATGTGCGATGTAATTGGAAAATATACTTAAGTCATGTGGGCCAGTGGGTTCTTCTGGAACTTTATGCATTCAAATTGGAGCGAAGATTGTGTTGTGAACATAACATATGTATGCCTTAGAATTCTGTGAGAACATTTTATTTAGATCACAAGCAAAGCAAGTATTACTGCATATTTCTTTCACTTACATTTTGCTGGATGTGTCAACTTGTGAACCATATGGTCGAACACTGCAGTACTTGATTTAGTTGATGATAACTAGAAAAGACAATTCTTTAAAAAATACCCACTTATCTAATCTGTAATGTATAAATTGCATATAACCATACACCACTTATCTATTCAGCAGCAAAACCTTTTTTTTAACATTTCACTTAGCAAGTATGTTTAACTTACAGGTAAACACTCTCTGTTTCATTCTATGCTAAGGAAATAGCAAATATATCAGCACAAAATTCTAAGAAAATTTGAAAAGAACCTTTTATGTGATGTATTGGAATTTATATTATTCTATTATGTACCTTAGCTGATAAGTTTTGATTTCATTTGTTGCTTTGATAAACATACTAGGTGAATCTTCTGGTTGCTACTAATGTAGCTGAAGAAGGACTTGATATTCAAACCTGTTGTCTTGTTGTGAGATTTGATCTGCCCGAAACTGTAGCAAGTTTTATACAGTCTAGAGGACGTGCTCGGATGACAATATCCGAATATGTGTTTCTCGTAGAGAGGTGCTTTATCTGTTTGGCTGAAAATGTTTTCTGAATCATGTGCATTTGATATATTTTCTGCAGACTGATAATAGTATGGCCTTAATTTCCGTGATCTCACTATCTCAGAGGGAATGAACGTGAAGGAAAACTGCTGAATGATTTTATGGCTGGTGAGGATATCATGAACAAGGAAATTACCAGTAGAACATCAAGCGAAACCTTTGATGATTTGGAGGAGGTTAACTATAAAGTCAGTAGTACTGGTGCCTCAATCAATACAGGTTGTAGTGTTTCACTCCTCCATCGTTATTGTGACAAACTTCCGCGGGATAAGTACGTAACTATTTTGAATCTTTCATGACCAGATTTGGCCATCTGAAGTTCCTGCGAATTTTGCAGTCTGCGTTGTTTCACTGTAACTTAATTTTGCAGATATTTCACTCCTTTACCTAAGTTTTATTACGTCGATGACCTAAATGGGACTATCTGCAGAATTATTCTTCCACCAAATGCTCCCTTGCGTCAGGTTGATGGTCTACCCTGCTCCTCAAAGGATGAAGCTAAGAGAAATGCATGTTTGAAAGCATGTAAAGAGCTTCATGAGAGAGGTGCTTTGACAGATTATCTTTTGCCTGATATAAATCCTCGAAGAAAGATTGGACCAGCAACACACCATTCTGAGTATAATAGCAACAGCATTGAAGGTTTGACTGTTTAATTCACATAGCTTGTTGAAGTTTTAGTGTTGTTGGTGTCCAGTAACCATTTACTTCTAAATTTTTTTGGTCCAGATGAATCTTCAAGAGAGGAGCTTTATGAGTTGCTAGTACCAGCTGTTCTTAGAAGATCATGGTCTAATGATGATACTAACATAAATTTGCATTTTTATTATATTAGATTTATCCCTAAGCCAAAAGACAGACAGTACCGGATGTTTGGTCTTTTTATCAAGAATCCTCTTCCTCAAGAAGCTGAAAGTTTAAAAGTTGATTTACATCTTACCCATGGTAGAATTGTTGAGACAACACTCACTCCTCAAGGGATGACAACATTTGACAAAGAGGAGGTAAAGAAGACTCTTACTCAAATTTGTGGGTATATTCTGTTCTTTGCATCTAGATTCTTATCTGGCATCATCTTATGCTGTTGCAGATTATGCTTGCACAAAATTTCCAGGAGATGTTTCTCAAAATTATACTTGACAGATCAGAATTTTACTCAGACCTTGTTCCTTTGGGAAAGTGCAATGCAAGTCAAGATTGCTCATCAAAGTCATATCTCTTGCTCCCAGTCATTGAGCAACTTTACGAGGGACAGAAGATGATTGACTGGACAACTGTGAGATGTTGTTTAACATCACCAGCCTTTATAGATGTGTCAGCCAAGTTTGAGAAAGCTCCTTGTCGCACAAGTGAGAAATTACAACTTCTCAATGGCTCAGTAAATAAAACTGATGTCATGAACAGCTTGGTTTTCACTCCACACAATAATCTGTTCTTTTTTGTTGACGGGATTCTTTATGAAACAAATGCTAATAGCTGCTACAAGGGTACAAAATGTGAAAGCTATGCAGAATACTACAGGGATAGGTAACTAAGCTGTACTATCAAAATCCACTCACCTTTGATGAACATCACTTCTATTCTTGCATGTAAGTAAACAATGACAAATCAAATTTTAGAAAACCCATAATCTTAGTTTGTAGGTGCCTTCTGGAGGAGACTGATAAAACATGCTTTCTTCATGGAAAAACTTTTGAGGTAATATGTTTTAGTAAGATTGATGGATAATGAGAGACCTCTGGTTGAATATTAGCCCTGCAATACCTGCATACGGAGAAGAAGAACATAAAAAATTAGTGTTGCTCATGTATTAAGAGAGAGAACACCTCAATAATTTGTGTGGTCACATTGACATTATGTCTTCGGGCAAATAAGACGCTTAAAAGAGCTGCATGTTTTGTGCTGTATATCTTATTTGTCCTTGTTTTACTGTTGAATGATACAGAAGAATCACTTAGTGCGAAAACTTAAATTTCACCCTGACTGGTAAATACCAGTTCGATTATGAGCTGGGATGTGGACCACTCCATTTTGGATGGTCCAGTCCATTTTTTTTAGCAACAACTTCTCGGTTTTTTGCTTTATACTTTTAAAGGCAGCAGTGGAGCTTATAGAGCACACTAGTGGCCCCTAGCGCCACTGTACTCTCTGTCACCATCTCCGCGATGATCCCCATTGCTATCTCTGTTCCACTTTTCGTCGCCAAACTGGCATGTCTTCTCCTCTCCTGCTCTTTCATCTTCCTTGTTCGTCTTCCTCTTTCTTCTTTCTCCCCCCTTACCAGCAAAATGATACCACAGTACATGGTATATGGTGTGTTGGTACTCGGCATGGCCCGGATCCATATTGAATGGGTATGGTTCTGGTACTTGAAATTTGAAAATTGAAATTGCATTCCTTGCTTAGTGCAACTGATTGAGTAGCTATAGAAGCTTTGCAATTGATATTTATATTGGTTACCATTGACAATTTAGGGATTCAGAATTTTACTAAATCCCATCCTCCTCTTTACATATTTTATACTTGAGGAGAATTTTAAAATGGAATCAGAGGGAAAATAGAAACCAAAAGCCGATTGAGCCTCACAATCAAACTATGCCCACTGATGCTGTAGCATATCTGGACACATTATCTAAAATCAAGATGAGTGTGGACTCTTCTTTCATAGGGTGTCTTGATTGCTCACCATCTTCATTGATTCATAATCTTCATTGTTTTATATTGAAATCATTATTTGTTTAAAAAGCATTCAAAGTTATTTTCTTAAAGAGGTAGATGTTTCTTTGTAAGCAACAAAGCAAGTTCATAATCATCAACTAGCCATCAGATCCCAACAATTTTGTGTTCCTTTTCCCATCATACCTGCGCTAAGGGCAATGTCACCAGTCACACGTAGAGCCACCAAATATCTTTGTTCCTCCTTATGATGTTTTCTTATCTTCATCAACCCTTTTCTTCTCCCTGCTAATCCTAATTGGCTAATCTCATCTAACTGATGTGTCCAAAGATCTCCTTTCATTTTTAAAGAGTTCTCCCACATTTTTTTAATGGTCACCTGGCATGGATTAGATCTTTAGTATTTGGTTTGCCTATCACTTAGTTCTCATTGTTGTGTTCTTGTAATTTTCGTTTATGATTAAATTTACTCCAATACTGTCTAATAGTTGAGATGAAATTCATGGCTTATTTAACTTAGTCATTACAATGTTGAAATTTTAGGTTCCATATCAAGCTTTCATATCCAGAACAGCCTTTCTTGAAGGCCAAACAGCTCTTTGTTTGCCGGAACTTACTCCATAACAGAGTACAAGCAAATACAGGTGACTTAGTTGTCTATAATTATGTTCTCTATCATTGTTCATGTTGCAGGTTAATGTATACATATTATTTGCACTGGAAATACTTTTTAAAGAAGTTGGATTATTCTGTCTGATTATTTAGGTACTATATCAAATTCCTTTTCTTAGTTTGTTTCTTATTCTGTAAATTTTGTTAAAATTTAAATCAACTTTGAGCTATGAAGCTATCTTCTAGAGTTATCTATGTGATGTTGATGCCTGTATGATATTTTCTTTGTTGATTTTTATTTTGCAAATTCCTCCTGAAACAGGAAGTATACAGTTTATGTTATGTTATGTGGATGGTTCTCCTCAAACAGGATATATGCATTTAATAAAGAATGTAGATTAGACGTGTAATATTCTGACCAGAGGAAGTGCTAGTTATGCTAATGCTAAATGGCTTGTTCGTGATCCAAGAGGTCTGCAGTTTGCACTTAATGGCAGTTTAAAGTCTTTTGCATTTCATGAGATTGAAGGAAAGTTAAAAGAACTATTACTTCAATTATCCATTAGATATTTGGATTTTCTCATCATATAATGATGATGCAGATGACATTAATGAACAAGAAAATGTATTTTTGTATGTACAAGATGTATTGGTACATTATATTGCAATTTTGGTTGACGAAGCATCACAATAGTAATTTGTATTACCTCCAGATGTCCAAGATCTTTTGAGTTTAGACCATATTTTTCTGTCTTGAAAAATCATGCATGTATTTTAGTATTATGTCATAATTGATTTGGTACTTTCTTTCATACAGTGTGTATAATTGTAAGCCCTGTTAAATCCTACTGTATTTAGGAATAGGAGATGGTAGATAGGACTATAGGAGTGCCCATAAATATAGGCTAAAATCAGGCATAAGATTATAACACTCTACAGTTCTTCTCTGTCTCCTCTCTTCTTCTCTTGTTTTTCTTCTCTCTACTCTTTCTCTCTCTTTAATTTCCCTCTTTCTCCTTCCTCTGTAGTGTCACTTGGAAGTTACCACCTTCCCTTAAAGAATAGTACTCAGAATGTAACATCCTATCTTCCATGATCCTGTCTTGTCCTATTAGTCAAATAATTTTGTTGTTTTACTTTCCATAGGATTATCATTTTGATCCTTTGTTTGCAAAAGCAGAAGCCCGTGAACTAGTGGAGCATTTTGTGGAGTTGCCTCCAGAGCTTTGTTCTTTAAAAATAGTTGGCTTCTCAAAAGACATTGGGAGTACTTTGTCTTTATTGCCATCTCTGATGCATCGCATGGAAAATCTTCTTGTTGCTATTGAACTAAAGGAAGTACTATCCTCATCTTTCCCAGAGGCATCTGAAGTTAGAGCAGACCGTGTAAGATGTTTTCATAATTTTGATTGATTGTGGCATACATCTATAGGCTTGAAATTTGTAATTTATTATATTTGTTGTCATATGCACATATTGAAGTTTCTTTATTTTAATAAGAACAAACAAATTTCAGATACTAGAAGCACTTACTACAGAAAAGTGCTTGGAACGCCTCTCTCTTGAGAGGTTTGAAGTGCTTGGTGATTCTTTCTTGAAGTATGCAGTTGCTCGTCACAGCTTTCTTACTTATGAAGCCTTTGATGAAGGACAGTTGACCAGGAGGAGATCTAGTATTGTGAATAATTCAAATCTGTATGAGCTAGCAATTGCAAAAAAATTACAGGTAAAATATCTTTTTCAGTGTCACTTCTGTGTCCTGGAATCAGCTTTTACATGGTCACACACAAATTGAGCAAATTTTCTCTGCTCTCTTTATTTATATGTAAATAGGTAAAACTTCGAACATAACTCATCGATTTTGATTATCTGGTAAAATTCAACATAACTTATCTGGTAAAATTTTGATTAGAACATAAGTCATCAGGCAAATTCATCCTTGGCTCTCAAACTTCTCATCTTGCCTGTTGTATTCTAAATGTGCACTTTAAATTGACTCATTGCTCTTTTAGTATGATGAAGTAGTGATCAAATTTGGTAGGCCAACAAAGGTAACTATCTCTAATTTTTGGACATATGCATATCTTTCTTCAAATTTCAGGTCTACATTCGTGACGAGCTGTTTGATCCAACACAATTCTTTGCATTGGGCCGTCCTTGTAAAATGGTTTGCAATATAGATACAGAATCAGTGATTCATCAAGAAGAAAATGAGAATCTGAATATTGCAGCTGAAGGACATAATTTTAGATGCACCAAATCCCACCATTGGCTGCACAGGAAAACCATTGCAGATGTTGTTGAAGCTCTTGTTGGAGCTTTCCTTGTTGAAAGTGGATTCAAAGGTGCAATTGCATTTCTCCGCTGGATTGGGATATCAGTTGATTTTGATGTATCAAATATTTATAGAGTTTGGGAGTCAAGTAATAGCAATCTTTCACTCATCAGTAATAGAAATGTCAATGAGCTGGAAGAAATTCTAGGTTATACATTTCGATGTAAAGGCCTTCTGCTTCAAGCATTCGTGCATGCTTCCTACAATAAGCACTCCGGCGGATGTTACCAGGTTCAAAGCTGTTAAATGAGACTGCATTAAAATTTTCACTTAGAGGTTTAAAAGTTGTTTAAATGTTTTTTGCTTTGATATTTGATATGCCTTTTTATCATTCTGATCAGAAACTGGAGTTTCTTGGAGATGCTGTCTTGGAGTACTTGATTACATCATACCTATATTCTGTTTTCCCAGAATTGAAGCCAGGTCAAATAACAGATTTACGGTCAATAACAGTCAACAACAACTCTTTTGCAAATGTAGCAGTTTGGCGGTCCCTCCATAAGTATCTAATGAAAGATGCAAGGAGTCTCGATGAGGCCATAAATAAGTTTGAAAGTTTTGTTCTTTTGTCTGATCTAGAAAAGGACTTGATTGAGGAACCAGCATGTCCGAAGGTATATCCACTTCATTGCAGACTTTTTATATATTATAGGTATTCCATTTGGCTTATGCTTTCTTTGTTGGTATCTATTTACCATAATAATCTAAATTCACTAAATCGAAAGGACTTGCATCTACTTTAGTTCTTGATATCATATACAATATTTTCCTCTGTTTCTGTGGACAATGTAAGTTTACAAAATTTGTTGAATGTAAAAGAGAAACTGCTTTGGACAATAATTTTCTGACTGTGTAGTGTATATTTTGTTGCGTTTCTTGTTTATGCTAAATTTCAGCGAAGAATATGATAAAGCCAACTTCTGAAGCATTAATTGGCAAGAGTAAAATCGGACCTTGTGTTGTTTGATGATCAATTGCTTTTTAAGGTTTAAGTTTACATGAACTTATATAGTGATGTTCATTTTATGGATCTGGAATTTTCTTCTTTTACTTTTTTAGACTGCTTGCAAAACCACAAAGACTGGTTGATAATGAGAAAAGAAATAGAATTATTTTATTTATTGAATTTAATAAGCATACAAGAAAGGTCTTGTTTTCTCCAATTGGGAATCAGAATTGTGGTAAAGATTTGATAGTTTGGGGCTTTTGTTGTCTCACTAAAAATGTGAATGTCTTGAGTGCTTTTTCATTGAATGAATATTATTAGATCTTCACCTACTTCAATATTATTAGCTCTTCCCCTACTTCATTATTTGAGTGCCCTAACATTAATCTATGATGGCCTTTCTCTTATTATCCTCATAGTGTCAACCTGACAATTTTGATATTCATGTGACTGCAAAATGTCCATGAAGCTGCAATAAGAATGTGGAGGTGGATGCGTGGAGCTACCAAAAAAGATATAGTGAGGAGTGTTTTTATACAAGAATAATAAGTTGTAGCCCATCAGGTGATAAAATAAGGGGAATTTTATCTAAGAAAGGTATTGGAAATATTCAAAAGAGATACATAGACGTTGTGGTTAGATGATCTGAGTTTATCAGGGTTAGTGGCTCAAGGAGAGTTCTAGGGAAACCTACGGAATATTGTAGTTGCTGTTTTATGCGTGTTTGTAGTTCTGTGTGTCTGAAAAACAAGATCCATGCTTGGAATTGTTATTAAAGGCAGATTTCTCATGATTAGTTGATCTGCATTTAATACAATAAGTTTCTGAGTTTTGGGCAAACCTACATACCAATATGGTGCCATGTGAACAGTATCAACGAACCACTCATGATGCTGGTTTATGGCTAGCTGACTCAGTTGCTGTATAGTTCCAGTTTGTGCTGTATTGTGCTGGCATGTCAGCAGAACAGGCATGCTGGTGGAGATTGAAATCATGTGTTTAGTAACTTACAAGATGCAATGCCAGGTAAAATAAGCAACATCATTTCGAGACATGCATCCTCAGTTTGCTTGTCCACTTGTTGTCATAGGTTACTCTTTATAGATTTTACTTTTAGCCTCTAGTAGATGTTTTTCAATAGGTTATTTTTGTTTTTTCTCGTGTGATCAATTTTTCACCATGATTTAAATAATATAGGTACTTGGTGATATTGTTGAATCTTGTGTTGGTGCTGTACTTCTGGACACTGGATTTAACTTAAAGATTGTCTGGAATTTGATGCTTAGCCTACTCGGACCTGTCTTGGATTTTTCTAGTTTTCAGATTAATCCTCTTAGAGAACTTCGTGAACTTTGTCAGTATTTTAATTTTGCAATGAGGCTCCCAGATCCAGTTAAAGTTGGAGGAGATTATTGTGTCAAAGTAGAAGCTGATGTAAAAGATGAACATTTGATGTTCACATCAACTAACAAAAACTCAAAAACTGCTAGAAGAATGGCTGCACAAGAAGTACTTTCTATGTTGAAGGTATGACTTTTCTTATTTTCGTAATAAAAGTCACACTAGTCTTGAAACTCATTAGCCTTTTATTTTGTTCTCATGCAGGCTCGTGGCTACAAGCTTAAAAGTAAACCACTGGAGGATATCGTGCAGTCAGCTAAAAAAGACAAACCCAAACTAATAGGATATGATGAAGAACCTATAGTAATTGACAATTTGGATTCCATTCCTTTGGAGAAACTGCAAATCCAGACTACAGAAGAGACTCCACACTCATTAGGTCTTGAAAAAGCAAATGGTGCATCTTTGTTGAATTGCAGTGGAAATTCCTGGTCATCTAGAAAGGAATTGACTAGAGCTGATGCCAGCGAGTCTTGTAACGGAAACCATGGCCAAATTCAACAAACAGTGAGTGATTATGTTGAGATCAGTGGAACATCCCCAGGTGGCAATCATACGGAGACCGCTGGTATGATCCTAGTTAGTACTTGTAGAGGAAATATTGAATTTTACATGCAATTGGAATGTTCTAACCTTTGTCTTAAAGGTACTTTGGCTCACAAAACAGCCAAGTCACGGCTGATGGAGATATGTGCTACTAACCACTGGCGTGATCCATTGTTTGAATGCTGTAAGGAAGAAGGTCCTAGCCATCTGAAAATGTAAGTTATTAGCATCCTTTCTTAGCCATATTTTCTGCTAAGCTTTTGTTAGGAACTGATGTATTGTTATTGGTGCTAAAACTCTCAAGCATGTATTAGTAAATGCACAGATGACTGGAACATCATCAGGAGCTAAAAATGTCTGCTAATCTGTTTAAAATATGCTTCAACAGGATCAACTCCCAAACTCTTTGTTTTTGTTGTGCCTTACAGCAGGACTCTTGGTAAGGTTAAATGATTGTTTCTGAAATATATGCAGGTTTACTTACAAGGTTACTGTTGAAGTCGAACATGAGTCTTCTGTGTGCTTGGAGTGCTTCAGTGAACCTAGGCCACAAAAGAAAGCCGCCCAAGACCATGCTGCAGAAGGTGCACTCTGGTATCTAAGGCATATTGGGTATATACTTTAAGTCTCTCTCCTTTTATCCCCTTGTTCTTGCTCTTTCCATCACTCTGCTGATCCTTTCAAATTAGAACAATACTCATTATTCATGACATAGCCAAACGTAGCTCAAGCCCAAAGCATTTTGTTTGCACTTAAAATGTGGGTTGAGAGCTATATATATATATATATATATATATATATATATATATATTACACTTTGTGACTAGCAACAGCTGTTTGGGCTAAATGATTGATGTTAGTTGATGCCTGGGGTAGTTATCATGAGATTGACTAATTACACTTGAGAACTGTTATCAGCTGTGTATAATTTGCAAGTTTCTCACCACCAATTTTGAGTTCCCTAAACCAAAACCTTTCACTGATACAGTATACAGCCTGCAGCCTGTGAGATTTTAATTATTTTTGAAAAGCTTTGGACTCTGATGGTATGGCATCAAAATGGTACGCACATAATTTGTTTTGGTCTCATTGGGTGTAATTGTACTGAACTTCTAAAGCTAAATGTCCTTTTTGTCTAGTTCCATGGCGCTTAAGATTTCTTGATTCAATTGACATGTAAGATTTCAATATGATTGTGAGTCGTATCATATCATGTACAGTTTTGTCAGATCATATATCATCTAACTTGCTTGTTTGTCATATCATATATTATGTAACTTAATTGCAAATCATATAAGATTCACTTGAGGGTTTGAATTCTCAATTTTTTGATATATTTTGAAGGTATCAGTTTAGCCGGTATATTTTGATAGTTCATAGTAAGATCTTGGATTTGGATCCTCACTTATCCTTTGCCAAAAAAATTTATTTGTAAATAATTAAAAATTTATAAGAGTTAAAAAGGAAAAAAAAAAGACATGTAGCTTAACTCTACTAAATGAAAGTTGATGAATAAGATCTTAGAAATCATATGTAAATTATTATCGGAGGCTAGAATAATTGGATATATCATAAATTTACTTTTTGATGTCAAATTATATCTTGCCCGAGTGTTTTAAGTGTTGGGTCATGGAGCAAATCTTGTTTCTAGTTATAGCTTGTTGTAAGCTTGGTGTCAGGAGTTGTTAAGTGGGTTTGACAAAGGATCCTGAAAACCAAGTCAAAGTATGTCTAATATAATGGTTGGGATTAAATGTGGAGTTAATTTACGAGAATGGTTTAAGGAGATTGTCGGGTGTTATTTAGACGTGAAGTGTCGATATAATCATCAAGTTTTGTAGTTAATATTGTCATGCAATATGCATAATTTCAACTTCGCGAGATACTTTGGTTGATGTGTTGGATTATCCGGGTGTCTGAATAGGTATCAAGTTGATAGTGACATTGTCTTCAATTTTTCACATGTCAGATCCTCTTATCATCTAATCCCATTGTTTTTCAACACATAGGATGATGGGACACAATGCCTTCCATGTTGGATGATTTAGCCATGTCACTTATGGCGGATGCAGGACCTTAGTATTATAGTTTTGGCATGTTAGAAGTGAGGGATGCTTCCCCTCATGTCTTCATGGCCAGAATCGATCGAGTTGGAGATACGGGATGTTGTATGGTTGGTTTCGAGTGTGTCAGAGATACAAATGTTTCATGATTGTAGATATAATTCAGAGCCAGGTTTGGTCATGTTGGAGATATAGGATGTTTCAAGATTGTCCAAGATAGAGGCCGTTACTGGTTGGATATGGCCATAACAGGCCACTTCATAGCTTTTGATTCAGTTGTGTCAGAGACAACAATGTCATGGGTTGATTCGGATGTCTTGTGGATATGGTTAAAGCTCTGTTTAGCGAACTGCTTCATTACCGAAATAGCCATAGCTCGTAGTGTTAAATGAATGAGCTTAGAGTTCGTCGTGCTTTCATAAGAAGTATAATGAGAGAACTACTCGGTGTGCTACTAGCAAACATGGTCACAAGGGGTTGGACAACCTACAACAGAGCGTTAAAGCAAGATTCTTGGCTTGTTGTGGCTAGAAATGGGATCTTGAAGATGAGATTAAGTTGAAGCCCCACAACATCAATGGTCGTTCTCGAGAAGCAATTGCAGCTGGTTTGGTGGTATGACGTGATTTAGGTGTAGCATCATGTAGTAAGGCACCATGCTTTTGGTGAACGAGTTATTGGTGAACTGCCTTATCGAACATGGGATGCAACACAGCTGCAATCTTCGGTGTTGTTGCTCACCCATCCTGAGGTGCCCCTTCGCTTGCCGAAGCTTCTTTGATATTGTTTCTCGGTAATCAATTAGTCATTAACATCATATTAGGTCAACAACCGAGTTACTGAGCTACTTTCCCTACGTAAATATTTTCAAAAGATTAGAAGGTAATTCGGGTCAATTATGAATCGATTTTTCTATGAAATATTGGTAGTTCCGATCGGTTATGAATCGATTTTTCTATGGGATATTTATAAGAATATTTTTCAAATACCAAAAAATAATTGGTTATGAACTAATTTCTCTATAGAATATTCGTAGAAATATTCTTAAAAGATCAGAAGACAATTTGGGTCGATTTCTTCCCTACAAGATCTTTATGAGATATTCTTCTTCCTTGAGGTCAATATAAAAAAATATTCTTAGCTCTTGATTAAAGGAGGAGAAAATGAAAGGCAAAATTCAGTATTAAGAGACATCTTGACCTCAATCTTTGTGTGATTAACAAGTTGGAGAAACTATACTTTGTTCCGGATGATTCCTTGTATACGGATCAACATCACGTCGTGCTAACATGATATTATTAATATAATTTTTAAATATATTGATGTAGAAGGAGGGTCCGATGTGGAGCTCGTATGAGCTGCCCCTTCTCTTGCCGAAGCTTCTTTGATATCGTTGCTCGGCCATGTTGCCGAGGCACGGGCTACAACTGCAACCTCAATTTTTGCTGCTCACCGATGACGAGATGCCAATGTGTTTGGCCAAGGGATAGCATGACGTTTCAAGTGCTGCTCGTTTTTGCCGAGTTATCAACATGTCCTGCAATTGCAAGGTATGCTGTAGCCTTGCCAAAGTATGTATGGTACGCCGCAATTGCAAGTTGAGCCACACTAGTTGCTGTTGCCTCTCCTTACTGAAGCATTACCATTGTTGTCGCAAGTCACCTCGCGAAAGCATGATAATAGTTGCTGATAAGGTTTGGGTATGCTAACCTATCTCTTCGCCTTGTTCAAGCACGGCCAACTATTGTAGCTCACTGTTTTGTTGCTCCGACATGCCAAGCTACTGCTCTACCTCGCGGAAGCCTGATGTGTTGTAGCCACTGCTAGGCCGTATGGTTTTTGCCGAAGGAGAAAAGCATGATGCATTGGAGGAATAGCCATAGAGGTAATTAGATTCACAAAGAAAACTACTTAAAGCTGAAACAGATTTCTCATGCAAAAACTCTTTCCAGTCATTAAGATCACTACATTAATCCATGTGAGCAAGTGTAACAACACTAGTTGATAATAGAATCACCAAATGTCCATGTCCTCTTTGTCAAAAGGTATACAACAAAAACTTATCAAGAGAAAGATCTACTTACTGAGGCGTTTTCCCTACTTCCAAAGTAGATAATCTCAGAGTATCAGGGCTCTTCAGTTGCTCAAGCTGCTTCTTGCCTCGACGGAGTAAATACTCGATGTATAGGAAATTCTTGCGGTCGACATTCATCGCATTCTGGCGAAACTCAGCTGAGACAATAGATTCAATCCTTAAACGCTCTTCTGGTTCCTTTAGACGAGCTGCCCGAAGAAACTCCCTGTATAGCCCTAACACCTGCCTTTGCAAGCCAGAGAGCTTTGTCCGAGAAGCCATGTCATCTTCCTAGTTAATATCCTCACTTCATCTTGGAGATGTTCCTGCAGCCTATTACTTCTCAACTTTGTTTCACCTTCCAAAAAGAAAGAAAGAAATCTATTAGAGAGATGAAAACTTGTGCACCCAACGATCTTCGAAAGCATTGGTAATCCTAGGGCAATGTAGTCAAAGGCGCTTAGCGCCAAGATGAAGCCCAAATATGCAAAGCGCTCCTGAATATTATAATTTAAATATCCAATGCTCCATATGAAGTGCTTTCAAATGGTATAATTTAAAAATTATATATCATGATTGATGAAAAGATTATATTAATACTAACGGATATAAAATTCACAGTTATGTTAATAAAAATATTAAAATATTAGAGGAGTAAGAGAAGGTGGCTGTGGGAGACTCCTAATTTTTTTGGTCAATTGTTCATTAGGACAGGGGGCTGAAGTACGTGGGAGTGTGGGAGGGGGGAAGGGGCTGCGACGGTGAGAAAGGAGTGGGAGGATGGCGTCAGGGCAACGGGAGAGCTGCGAGCTAAAGGTGGGAAGAGGGAGGAGGGATCAGAGGAGAGGATGAGACACAAGAAGCAAGTGTGTGTGATTGCGAAGGAGGAGGAGAAAGAGAGAGATACCAAGAGGGGAATAAGCCGCCGCTGCCGCCGTTTGCCGAGGAAAATGCAGCAACAACAAAAGCTCGCTGGTGGAGACGAAGTCAGCCACCGTGCACCGAGGCTTGGTTCGATCGAACGAGAGACCAAATTGGGGAGACTCGGGATCGACTCAGGCACAGCCCAGCCTGAGTTGAATCAGGCGGGCGCGCCTGGGAACGCAAATATGGCATTTAGCCGCCTTTGCAGACCAACAAAACAGAGCTGCAATCGTGGGGTTCCACAAAGACCACAACTTTGTGTGATTGAGTAACACTGCTTAAAGCACATATACCAGAGGACTATATGAGCAATAAAAATGCAGCAAAGAAGCATCTGCTCCGAAGGTCAATGTATCTCGAGAGGAAAGAATAGCATCTGCATCAAAAATTTGATCTTTTGGAAGGTGATATTTTTCTTTTGTTTCGCTGAAAGCAACAAAAGTATGCAATCACCAAACCCTAGAAGAAGGGGAATCTTCAAAACCTAATATAACCCTTTCCCATTACAGATCCAAATTACTCCACATCTAATAGATGGCTTTGTTACCATTGGAAGCCACCAATATGCCCGAATCGCAAATCCGACAAGCCAAATACTCTCTCATTCAGCAAAAACTATCGTGAGAAGAAGGGTAAGAAAGAAAGAGGGAGTTGGAGATTACCCGAGGCGGCATGATCTCGACGTAGGTTGGTCGACCGGGCCGGCGACCAGAGGGATTTTGGTGGTTCCGAAAGCTGTTGCTACAAAATTGTGTTGCATCAGGTGATTATTCGTGAACTCGGTTTCAGACAAATGTTAGGGGAGGAGAAGAGAGGAGATAAAACGGGAGAAGAAGAGAAGGGACGAGAGAGTAGGAGAGAGGAGGAGAGGAGAGAACGGTACCTACGGGAGCGGCGAGGTGGCGGCCTGCAGCAGCAGTAGAGAGTGGTCGGCCGACGATGTCGTCGGCAGCGGTACCTGTAGGGATCGCGTCGCCTACTGCGCGCCGCACGACGCCTCGATTTCCGTCGGTTCTTTTACTTACTTTATACCCATCGAGTTGTTCTCTCCTCTTATTTCATAAATTACACCGTAGAATTATTAATCTTATCAAAGGACAAAATAATCATTTCATAAATCATCAATTTTACCAATGATAGTATCCCATCGAGTCGCTCTTCTTCCACCCTCAGCAAGTCTGTCGGTCTCGCTTGGCCCAATCGTAGCCTCTCTCTACCCAACAGCAATCCTCTCGATTCTCTTCAGTTTTCTATCTTTCACTCTTCGAGTCCATTATCGGTGCCTAGACCTTATTGCCATTGATCTCCCTTCGCTCTCATGGCCTCTTGCTTTCCTGCAGGCTGGCTGGCCATCATCGAGAGGAAGTTAGCGATGGTCGACGAATTGGATCGCGATCCACTCCTGGGCCTTCACTGATGTCGTCCACATATATGACGTGGTGTCGAGAGTCTAGTGCCATAGGGCTCCCATGCCCAGCATGCAGCACTCCTCCTTCACGTGTGTTGGGTCGAAGGAGTGTCGGATGACGTTCGTGGTTGGTGAGCACGATGAAAGAAAGAGCACACTGCGGTCCATGCTAGCTTATGACGTGGCAGCTGACATATGGGTCCACCTGCCCGACATGACTTATTGACTCAAAGCTATTAGATTAATAGGTCTCTACCTAATAACCTCTTATTGACTTTTATTAGATCTCATTCATATTCAGAGGCTTATTGGATATCCAACAAGATAGGAGCTCCGTCGGATATCTCATATATGAACCTCTACTCGTCGTAACACCGACCATATGTGTGTGACCCTCTATACCCAATATCGGGCTAGCCATGAGTCATACCTGTCAGAACTTATTATGGCTCAATAAATTTTTATCTTCATAATAATTCACTCGACTCATCGACTACAAATGTACTAGGCCACTACGCCGTAGTCCCTAGACGATACAAGAGTTACCATGTATCTATAGTCTCTCATCCATCTAATATCGTAGAGATCATATACCGGGCATAGTGTTGTCAAGCACATACGGTTTCTACTTGAGTCTCGCTTTAATTGGATTCTCCCAGAGAACTCTTTCTCTCTTAATCAGAATGACTCTGGCCAGGGATTTGCTTAAGCAAGAACATATGGAATATTCCTCTCATGACACCGAGAGATGATGATCATCTATCGACACTCAATAGCCCTCATAAGATTGGTTATCACTCCCGATGATTGGTTGTGTTAGTATACCTGGAACTTCCAGACCTATAAGTCTGGTGTCAAAGAGTGGAGTACTCATATAGGACATCTTTGGTGTCTCAAGTCTAAGGACCAGATACACCACTGGGATGATAGAATCGTTGTCTGATAATAAGGCATCATCAATCATACAGCATTTCGTGAGCAGATCAAACTCATTCTCCAATGAGCATCAGCATTGTATCCTTAGTATCCCCACATGAGTAGTTATGAGACCAATCGCCTCTATCATATGGATAGGTATACAGTACACTTGTCTGTCCGGTTATTTCGATGTCCCTCTCGAGTAACGTATGACAGGTATTATTTATGATATGTTTAAAGGTGAATCGGTCTTATTATTGTGATCTCATCATGATCCGATTCTCATTGCATAGATCAATCGATATCACTACACACACACTCATATATATATATATATATATATATATATATATATATATATATATATATATATATTGATAAAATGTCAAATAATATAATAAGCAAAAAGAGTGCATATCATGTCATACGTGTTATTACTCATGTGATTTGCTTGTAGGACACTTATGACTAGCACCCTGCACTTCGACAACCCTCTTCTTCAATCCTTCGAGGATAGCTCGATTGATATCCTCAATGAGATCGTTAGTTTAAGGATAAAATATTGAGCTAAACCTTAACTGAATCCCGTAAGACTTGCAAAACTCTTTGAATTTTGCATTATAGAACTAAGTCCCATAATCAGTGATGACGGCCCTAGGGATTCTGAAGCGGGTAACGATGTTTCTCTATACAAATCCCTTGACTTGCTTCTTGGTGATTGAAGCTAACGGCTCAACCTTCACCCATTTCGTGAAGTAGTCTATTCCCATGATGAGAAACCTCCTCTGATTAGAAGCTAATGGAAAGGGTCCCAAGATGTCCATGCCCCACTAGGCAATGGGTTATGCGCAATCAATCGGGCTCAAAGCGACCGTCAGTTAGTGTGATACCCAAGCAAACTTTTGACATTGGTGGCACCTCCAAACATAGGTGATTGTGTCCTTACACAACGTCAGCCAATAGAAACCCAATTAAAGCACCTTGAATGTAAGGGTTCGTCCACCTATATGCCCCCTACCTTTATGTACCTTAGCGAGCACCCTCTCGACTTCATACGATGTCAAGCACCTAAGACAAGGTTGACAAAATGACATACGATATAAGTGATCATTAATTACATAATACTATACTTGATGATTGATGCCTGACCCTTCAAGCCACCTCGGGGTCAATAGGGAGTGCCTCGTCTCTTTTGTAGCATAAGATCTTGTCGATCCAACTCGGTTCCTCCTCGACCATGGTCACGTCGTACCTTTCATGCTAGTCATAGGTGCTCTGTAAGCCAATCACGTGAGTGATGACACGTGTGACATGATACACATTCTTTTT